GGTTGATAATTAAATGATGCATCCGCCTTCGCTAACGGTATACGGTGGTGGAGGAGCACCAGTGGAGCATGATAAGAAGAGTTCAGGTCAGTTAGCCTAGCGTGACGAATTATATATATTATATTAGAGAGTAGTAGAAATTAACCACGATGGCTTCCAGTGGGAACACCATGGAGGTCAATCTGACTTGGTACATTGCTAGCAATGGGTTCATTAGTCCACGTAACTAATAAACACCTTATCTCCTTTAAGTGAGAATAAGAGAGCATGCGCGCTCATCGATTATCCTATTTATAAGTCGATCACGGAATGGACTTAACAAACCATTCTGCAGTTACCATTTGATTTGTATGCATTCTAAATTAATTTGTGACACTCGTGACCAAAACTATTTCAGCTTAACATTAGTATGAAAGAATTGATTTGATGTATGTAATTAAAATATAACGTAGTAAATTTTACACTTATTCCTACTCTATGGTATGATCAGGTAATATAGACAATATTTTATTTTAAAAAATATTTATGTTCCCTACAGTGAGAGTGACAGTCGTACGATACCGGGAAATGTCACAAGTATAATCTAAATATTTTCTTAAACAAATATATTTATGTCAAAGACCAAAATTTAAATATACAGGTAGATCCTGATGTTAACTAGATTTGATCTCACGACCTTGACTTGTAAACCGGTCGATAGTAAACTACTTCTCAATGCGCCGTGTGATATATCCGTAGATTTATTTATTAAAAAAAGTACCGTTTAGGCTGCACAAACGCGTACCGAGACAGTCGTTCCGACAATAAAAAATATACGCTAATAAAACCGTGAACGGAACCGTGTCAGCGTATTGTTTACCGACGTTTTATATGACCTACATCGACGATTCAATTATATTGTATACCCTTGAAATCATCGTGTCATTATATAATTTTTAATCAGCAAAAAGTCACAAGACGAATGCGTTCGATCGTAAAATGTAGCGATACAAAAAAACGGTATTTGGTGACCTTTTTGCGACCTGTGGAATTAACCTTGTAGAGATAATAAACCTGTTGTTATAACATTTAACGTAATACTAGTAATAATTCCCGGTAATGTCTGCTTAAATTTGGATTTTTATGCCGATAGTTCCGATTGCTGGTTTACGATTCAGGGCCAACGGCCACTTCCTGATTAATTAATGCAAATACAGAATTTAGATTGTTATAGGGAGAGTATAATAACATTTATGTGTGATGTTAAAATATAGATAACTAGTAGTTACCTGCGACACGTCTCGAGAACTGGTTTTATCTTTCTACATTTACGGTATTGATATATATGATAACTTAAATCATTAAATTACTGTGTATATGCCAATTCTAACATGGTTGCAATTTCCTCATGTGATTATTATGTATCAGAGATTTATATAACTTATCTTCCGACCCTGTTTTAAGTCGTAATTGCAATACTTCGTACTGGTGAAATGCGGGTGTTATATCGATCTCTACATTAATTAATCGTGCATATTAAAAAACTCATCCAAATTCGTTGTTTTGGCGAGTTTAACGCATAATATATTAAATAGATATGGTCCATTAATCTTAAAGAGATTCTGTATCTTTCTCTTGCTTAATTGGTATTATTTTTAATACAGATAACAATAAACATAAAGTCCCGACTGTTATCTCAGATAGAGTCAGTCGTTCTGTGATACAGTCGAGCATACAAAACTTATAAATTGATTTTATAATATACCCAAAATAATTACCAGTAGCCTGAGTGATTATAACTTTGTAATTTAGTATTTAATTAACATTACGTATAGCCTGGAGACAGTGTCGTGGCCTTAGGTTTTGTCTACCCCGACTTACAATGAAAAGATAGTGTGGTAAATAAAAAAAAATGGGTGCTAAGTTAAATTTCTTTGTCTCTCTCTCCAATGAACTATACAATGATTACAAACCAAAAATTACCGCGTTGAATTCAAATATAGGTACCGAGCGTAAAGTGTTGCATTACACGTAGCGGACGTGACGTCGTTAATTGAAAATGCCTCCCTTTTTGTTGGGGATGTTTAGGTCTTTTTAGACCTGTAGCACTCCAACCTACAAAGAATTATTGTGCTCGTCCCTTTTTTTCAGAATTGATGGAGATTTAGGAGTGATGGTTTTATCTGCTCAGAATAGAGTGTGTACTTTCCAAAGGAGATATTTCGTTTATGCATGAGTGTTCTACAACCACATAGGATGTGCACTAGTCTACAAATCTTTGTTAATGACATGCCTAAATTAGCCATGTATTTATTTCATTTGCGGTAAGAAGATAGGGTCCTAGTCATATGCATATATTGTTTTTACTCCATAATAATAGTCGTAAGTATAGATTTTAATAGTCCATTTGAATAGTGAAAAAGAATCTTAAATCGGTCCAATGATTACGTAGTTTACTTATAATAAAACCCACTCCCTCTCTTTATACTGTGGCATTAGTATAAATCTTATACGTAGTATGTAATAAGCACCAGAGTTTCGATCACAGAGCAAATCGAATCAATCACTAATATTACCGATAGTTTCATTGCATCATGTAGTGAGTAATATAAAAGTGAGAGAACAATAATAATGTGTCTTCTAACCAATGACGAACGATATGATCGTGAATCATGCGCAACACTATAGCGCTCTGGGTCAATCAGGTGTCGTAAACAAACTAATTGATGTAACATCTGTAGTTGTGACTGTTGGCTAAATATTATTTTTAATTGGCCGTATTACTTGCGTAGTTATTATAATATATACATGGATAAAATTTATGTAGTATTCGTTGGTTGAATGCCAATTATACTATCTCTTTATGGTAGGAATTCTTTGTATAGTCTAATACGCTTCAGGAGATCGAGTACATATGTACTAGGAGTAAGAAACACATAAAAATTGACTGCATTTCACCTTTTTTGAATAAAGTGCTTGGGACTTTATCTCTATCATATTCTATTGTACTTACAGTAGTACCTACCTGCTATGATTTATTAATTCCAATAAATCATAGCATCCTTTAAATTTGGTAGGTTGTTTTCTCTTAAGTGAAACATACGTAATTGTGTATCAAACAGCAGAAACCAAAGGTAATGGTTCGAGATATGTTATGTCATTTTTATGGCAACAAGAAATGATATTAAACGGCTTTATAACAAACTAGAAAAGAGCGTTCTAGCTGTTCCATGGTTCATCGTCTTAAGAATATTTATAGGTATTTTGGAAAATCCAGCTAAACATGACTACAAAATATATTTAGCAGGATACGCTTCCTTATATTAAAAATATAGTAGATTCTGTGTCAATTTTACACGAATTAGTGTGCGACAAGCTGTCGTTCATTTAACTTGTTTCCTGTATACGCCCATCTATCATTGGCGACGCCGCGATATAATTGTATATATTACAATGTCTAATATCAGTTTTGGAATATTAACAACGTTTGATCCTAATGTACACTCATGGTCTACGTATAAAAGTCGTGTAATGCAATGGTTCATTGCAAACGACATTACCGAAGTAACGGATCCCACTGGTCAAAAACGGCGAGCAGTGTTGCTAAGTGCACTCAACGATGAGACGTATAAGTTAATAGCTGATTTAGCACTACCTAAAGAATTGCAAGAAATCTCATTCGAAAGCATTTTGAACCTGTTGAATGGACACTTCACGGCGAAAAAGTGTGGAATCGGTGAGCGGTATATATTTTACTCCGCCACCCAAAATGCAGGGCAAGACTGCGTAAAATGGGCAGCTAGATTGCAAAACTTATCAGCCAACTGTGAATTCTCAAATGTCGAAGAAGTACTGCGTGACCGATTTGTAATAGGAATGTGCGCCGGTCCCGTACGTGATAACCTATTTGCACAAGATATAAGTGAATTGACTTTAGAAAAAGCTATGGACTTAGCGGAAAGCTTACGAAGTGTACAGGCTAATATTCAGCCACATCATCAATTACAACAAGGAATACATCAAGCTCCGAAAAAGCGATCAGATCGGCGACAGCACAAAGTTTACAACAAAACAACAGCAGAGTCCAAACGAGGAAAGTTTTGTGTGTGGTTATAAGAACCATGGCAATTTCGCAGTATAAGCAGTTCTTTTATATAGAACTTTAATAACAATGTACCTGCATATCTCATTGCAATATTTGGCATATTGTATTCCAAAATAGGGTATAATATGTATTAGTTTGACGTCAATAAATCATTGTGTTATACGCAGCCTCGTTTCAATTGTCTCCTTTATGCGCCTATATAACAGATAAATGCTTGACTTTTTATTCATTAAACGTTATAGATGTGCATGTATGTAGTACATTAGTTTCAATATTGGTTGTAAATACTCAGTATCATTAATGCTTGGCTATTTCCTCTCTAAAAAGCAAAATAACGTACTTGCCTATTGTGAAACAGTCACGACTGTTCGCTCCACTATTTAAATGTAGGTAATATTGTTTGCACTTCCGACCACGTTCCGCTGTTGAACTTTATTATTTATACACACAGAACCTTCAAATTGTTGAGATCAATCTGTAACTCTTGCATTATCTGACTTTGAACTAATTTCTTCGAGTATCGTTTTTATTGAGCTAATTAATTAATGTAGTTAGAACTTCACCTCTGCTCCGAATATCCAATGATTATCAAAATATATGTAAATTATACTCATATGATGTTTTTTATTAACTTTACTCTATATATGAACACTAATTACTAAATTAGTGTTCATATATATATATATAGAGTAAATTTAATTTTATATTTATAGTCATTTCATATAATTAATATAATTGGTGAATTTAAAGAAAACGATTCCATTCTGTAAATTTTAAAAGATCATTCACTTTATACCATTGTAATTTTGTTATTGTTGTATGTAATTTTTCTACAGGTTTTGAATTCATATTTGCAAAATTGTAAGTTTAGCAATATTTAATTTGTTTTATTAATATTTCATCAATTTCATTGCAGGTGGTGCATTCGAAGGTGTCGAAGATCAAATTTCACCGTTCGGCTATGGCAGAGGCGAGGGCGTGGACGCTGGACATGGTGATCCGGAATGGATATGCAGTAAAGAGAAACCAAGATACGATGAAATATTCAGAACCCTCAACCCTATCGATGGAAAAGTCACCGGAGCTGGTACGAATAATCTTACTAGAGCAGATATACGCGCATTAACACATTTACTAAGCACACCACATTATCGAGGGATATTAACTGTAGATAGGGCTCTCGAAGCGTTGCTCTCTTCCACACAAAATTGTTCAATCCTAACTGAACTTTGCATGAAATTAAAAGATGATCAAAATGACGAAACTGATAGTTTTAGTAAAGTAACAAACGCATTGACCGTGGCCACGGAGAATACGCGCATGATAACACAGTTTTTGAATAATGAGCGCGATCATGTAGGCGGTAGGATGTCGTCGGCGGTATCTATTCATAGTATAAACGAATCCTTAGCTGTAGGAGACATAAATATTGATACTGGAGAAACTAGTAGATCAGAATCTAGAAATTACGATGAAATTGAACCGGTAGTCGAAGAGGATTCTATTAAAAATGAAAATATGATATATAATTTAGATGACACTGTTCTAGAAAACAGGACACACATTTTCACATCTTTGTTTTTTAGTATAAAATTAATTACACTTTTGGTATTAAATATAGTTTCAATTGTGTTTACAATCGAAATGATGTTTATCGCTATGACATACATCATGACTGGCAACATGTACATTGAGTTAAACATCGAGAAATCACCGGAAACGTGGTTAGATAGGGCGAAAGTTGTTGCGTTTGGACCCGAGGAAGAAACGGTTAGAATACACTCAATTTTCGACTTACTTCGCCGTAACAATATAGTGTATGTTCTGAAATATATAATTAATGTTATTAACTGCAATACAACTGGAAATTAAGTAACTGACAGGAATACATAATAATAATAATAAAACTAGTATTGGTTTGAGTTATTATGTAGTATATTAAGGTTTATTAATCGTAAAATCAAAACCTATATCAGTATAGAATCTCGTATTTTCCTAATTGGTTAATAAGTGGAAACATGGTTTCTGTAGATAGTTCCTATTAAGATGATGTAAGACATCACCTTTTGTTTAAATAAAGTAAATACAGTGTTATGTAATTTTATCACTTAGCGACACACCACTATCAAACAAAAGATTGTAATATCTAATCAGTTGTACGTGTAATATATCAAGTTGTACTATGCTTCAAGATTAGTTCTGTAATATCCCCGATGTAATTATATTGCCCAAGTTTCTGTGAATGGATGCCTCCATTCATATCTATAACAATTGTCGCGTTGCATGTGAGAATTTTCTGCGTTGTAGAGACAGTCGTCTCGCTTTTAATCTAGGTCATATTGTAGGTAAAGTGTTAATTTAATATCTAATTTTATTCTGAACCGCACAGTTTCGTTCGTCGGCGTCAGCGACACATTTTCCCTCGTTTTTGCAACATTTTTTATGTTATATACATATATAGCCTTCCTTCATAAATGGGCTATGCAACACTTAATGAATTTTCCGAATCAGATTACTAATACCAGAGATTACCCCGAACATCCAAGGTCACAAAGTTTACTTCTTTTTAATATTACTTTTAATGTTTTATAATTAGATGTGTAAGTTTATAATGAAATCAGATTCTCCGCTTAGGTTAAATTATATTTCATAAGTGAATCGTGATAGAAGATAGTGATCTTTACTTGTTACTAATAGTTTATCATTAATTTCTTCGTCTTTATTATTTCGTCTTTATTACTTACCATAATATGGATGTCATTATAGTTTTGCCATATAATAGCTGAGTCTAATGTCTTGGTAGTTCTTTTCGGCTGAACGCTTCAAAGCAGAGTTCGATAAATAAAATGACACGTGTAATTGATTTATCATTATTTTTATACTTACCTGGTTATGTTTTGCTTTTTTCTTTTATCTAGCTATTCTTCTATTATTCATACGTTGTTCTTTTCTTGTTCTTGCTAACTATCGTGACGTCAGCTACAGAATTTAATGTTATAATAATATCTGCAGTACTTATTTGCATGGGCCAATTTTTTCCTTTAACCTGTATTAATTGTAATAAAAAAACACTTCAAAATAATCTTTAGACTCTATATAGATATACCTGAAAGTAAACAGTACGTTATATTAAGGAATCCAGAAACAAAACACAATAAAAATTCCTAATACTAATTGTAATTCCCAATTCGTTTTTTAAATTTCGAAACCACACGCCACCCACCCTGGGAATGTTATTACTTATTATTTTAATTTTAGTGCTAGGTTAATGTCGCCTATTATGCCAGTGAATATTGATTCTTATTTTATTATAGGTACTTAAATAAATATATAAGACAAATATGGATTTTATATATACCTATAATATTTGTTTAAAATTCTTCAATCACTTTAAATAACTTCAAATTATTATTATTTTTTACATGTATTTAGGTATATTTTCAATAAGTAATATAGTCAATGGGTTTTATGTGAATTGTAAATATATGAATAAACCAGAGAATATTTATTATAAAGCGTAGCATTTCCGTTTTTGCACTGTAAATCGCACACGTGATTTTATGAGTGACATTGTGGTGTGCTCTTTAGTTTTCATTTATGTTTCCTATTTAGCGATTCAACAGTTCATATCGATTCCTCATACCTTATTGTCTAGTTCGAAATCACAAGTCATTAACATAATAAATTGTGCACTCTATTCCAGTGTGCTAAAGTTGAGTTTTATTTGCACGTTTTTTTTACAGCGGCTAAGACGGAGATGGTGAAATCGAAGCTGCCCAATTCAGTGCTTGGTAAGATTTGGAAGCTTTCTGACATTGACAGCGACGGGTTCCTGGATGAAGAGGAGTTTGCTCTGGCGATGCACCTCATCAGGGTAAAGACCGACGGACACGACCTACCCTCGGAGTTACCAGCGCATCTCGTGCCTCCATCGAAGCGCAATTGAAATTGACGTCATCAGAACGGCATACTATCACTTCATAGTTCATACAAGATATATCAGCGTTGCAGATTGTCTGATTTCGGTTTTTGGAAAAAAACATTGTAGCTCTTGATATCTTATTCTTACAGCGTCTTGCATTTCTGTTTACATTTACACGGGTTTAGTATTTACAGTTTCTACAAACAGGACGGATTCTTTTATATTTGAAGAATTCCTTTTAATAAAACGAAGTTAATTAAATAAAAGTACTGAGCAAATTGGCAAACATATGAAAAAAAAAACATTAAGATAGTTGCCAGTAGCAAATTTGTTCACCAAAAAGTCCAGAAAAGACAAAAATGTAATGTATTCAACTACTTGTAAACCTAATTACATCGAGTTAAATTCTCAGTACTAAGCCCTTGTAAATGTAATGCGCATTTATCCAATGTATGTGGTCAGCACTTAATTGCTTTATTTATTAAAAGTGTGGAAATGGCAGAATTATTGTATGACTGATACGTTTGAATATTTCATAATCATTGCATGTTATTTTCGAATACGAACCATATTAAATTATTTATTGTTGTGGAGCAAACTTATGTAATAAAGAATAAAAGTAAGAGTACCGCTTAGTAGGTCACACTGTAGACGTCTATGGCCTTATATAACCAGTTGCTTGAATGGCTATTACTGATTTTTACGATGACGTTTCTTGTCTATGATTAAAAAAGTAGTTACATATTTTTTTTTATATTGAATTTGTTCTAATTTTAAATTAAATTTGAATGCGATACTCGATCGTTCATGTGCTGCTTCGAGGCTTGTCGAGTTAAATATAAGAAATACGATTACAAAGGAGCAAAGTTCCTTTGACTGATTATAATTATAATACCTTTAATATGGGCATAATAAAGAAAATTAATTGCAGTTTTTTGTTTTAAATTGCATATAGAGAGTCCAAAAGAGCTTCAGTGCAGTTAAGTCAATAAACAAACTCAGGCTTTAGTAATTTAAGTTATAATTCCATAAAAATGACATACGATGTCATATATACTTAGCTTAGTTGAGATATTTTAATACATTATGCGTACGCGTTCTTGTGATTTCAGTAAACTGTCATACATGGGCTCACTCTATTTGTCACTATGTCTGTCCATTAATCTTAGTTGTTTTCTAAATATACGTGTATTAATTACTGAAGAAAGGCCTCTCTGCCTGTCGTTCTATATTTTAAATCCAAAAATGTGTTTGTCTGTCATACTTTCGAGCTTTAACTACTTAACCTATCATTATGTTTTGAATTACAAAGGACACTCTACTTTTTATATTGGTAAAGCGGAGAGCATGTAATGCGTACATATGAATGTGGGTGGTTATAAGGACAGAGGAAGGCCGAAAAAGAGATGATATGGTAAGAAAGGGAGTATATAACGAGACCATTGCGAACAGGGATGAATGGAAGAGAAAAACATTTACGCCGATCCCAAATAAATAGGATAAGGAAGAAGCAGATGATAAATGTGGAAGAACTCGCTAATATAAAACAGTAAACAATTACTACTTAAATACATGACGTTTTGCCCTTTATATCATATACAAATTGGTTAGATTAGGTAAGTAATATATTAATAGGTACTACATACATTAATTCTTAATAAATTAACATTGACAACTGAATGAAGCTCTATGGAACTCTGGTTTTATGATGTGTTAAAATTATAAATATAACACCGCTTTAGTACAGCTCTGGATCAGCCTTGTAGCAAGAGTAGCAAATACTTAAGTAAAAATGGAGGAAACCCTATTACTTCTGCATGTTTCGTAAAGTCTAAATACAATACAAAGACGAAATGGACCTAGTTCAGAAAAACAAACCCCCCCCCCCACCCTCTCCCTATTGTGGTACATTACAAAAACTAACTTCCAATCAGACTACTAATTTCGAAATTGAGGGCCTCTTGAAAGAAGGATTTGCTACTACAAGTCCGTACATTGGCTAAATCCGCTGCTCCATATCTTCTTAATTTATTCTATGTGCAATTTAAAGATATCCATGGATATTGTAATATGGAGGTCCGGTTATTATTATAGTGATATACACTCTAAATTTATCTTAATTATGTTTTTTTTTTAAATTTATATTTACCAAATTGTAAGGCCAGGGAAAATATTTGTTTATTTTGAAAACACTTAGATTTATTTGAAACATTATTTTACGTTATATTTTATAGAGGTGAAGATTTATGTTAACTAAATATACTGTTTAGAAAATTAATCTTACATACAATGACAATATATTTAATTAGTTCAATTCTAACACTATTTACAGTTACGATTTATTTATTAAGGATTGCGATACACATGTGCTAGGAATCGATAACCGTTTATCAACAGGGAGTCTTTTACTTCTTCATCTCGGTGTAAGGTATACCTACAACCGAGAATCTTTATATTATGAATGTATACCATTTCAGGTTGTATCATCAACATGGGAACTTAATCCAGGCACGCAAATATAGTTTTAAATTTTTAGTGTTCCTTTTTCGAATGCAATATTACAATACGCGCCATATAACTTGAACATAACCATAAACAATAAAATCGGCGCAGGTTTTGTGCATAATATTTTTACCACACAGGTCATGTGATTAAAAAAAATATTTTAAAGTTGTTCGTCACTCACAACTATATACACACACTCTCTATTGTAGATTCGTTTATGTATTTTTTAAATATTAGAAAGTGATTACAGTGAAATATTACTTTTATGTCACACGGGCTGTGAATACTAAAATATCGTCTTAATGTCTCATAAATATTAATTTTGTGTGGCAGAGGGCATCGTTGAATGGCTGACAACAGTATTCCAAACAGGATATTTAAATTATATAATTTGCTATACCTATGAACAACAAGCATTGTAAATCAGATGTATATGTAAGTAGGTACCTAATAGCTGTTTACCACGGCTTTACTTGCGTGGTACCCGTTAACTTCAGTTCTCATTGAATTTCTGAAACTTACATTAATGAATATCTACATCATGAATTAAATCCTTTGTAGCCAAGTGACGAGACTTTTTCCTATTGTTTAATGCTCTCTCTTCCTACAAAATTCTTATTTCGTTCAGTTGGTTTGTGGGATATTCTCTACGGTGAATGGTCTCTTTCCTTCCGTTTTGCCTTCTAGATACTCTTTTAGCACAAATTATTATTTATATTCTCAACACTAATTTATAACTGTCATTTTCTTGCATTGTGTACATAACCGTTATATATACGTGTCGTGACCCTCCACTTTTGGTAGTCTATAGTCTTCTTTTTGGCTTTAAATTCTGCCACACCTATCCGTTAAATATCTTTATGTATTCTGTGTTCATTTATTTGTATATTCACTATGCCTCTAGAATTATATCTTTAAATTACTGACCTAGTTTATGGCTACATGGGCTGTACGGTAATTGATCAATCAGATTAAGTTTATTTCTAAGATACATACCTATTGTAATTCAATTTATCAATCCATAGGGAAAACTTTGCCAATTCAAATATGGAACGATTTAAAACATGACAATTTGATTTTCTATAAATATTTTGGTAGGTGTGTAATAACGTCATCGTTGTTGCATTTTAACACTTAATGCTTTATCATAAGGTCGATACTTGTTCGCAGCGCATATCAGTTTGGTACGCTAAGTAACTATTACTGCTATACATTTACCCCTTCTGGGACAAAAGTTCTGTTGTATTATTTTTTGTTTCATATTTACTGATTTGATATTTACCACCTCTCACAAATCGATGGATTTGTAGGTGTCCGATTAGAGTATCTACAACTGGTTTTTAGCAACTAAATTAAAATAAGAGCTGGTTCATGATAAAGTCACTGTAATACATAGAGCAATTATTATAATTATAGTAAATTGATTAATTGTAATACGTGGGGCATTGTAAGTGATGGAAGTGAAACTTCTCTAAGGATATATGTAGTTATATATCACATCTTAAACACATATTTATCTATGTACTATAATATTGTCATTGGAAATGTATAAATAATAATTTATACAAAAAGTAAATTGATCTCTGATACTTTAAACTGCAATATACGAGTCCTAGTAATATCACGTAACACTGAAGGCCTAGGCTCGGTTAGGAAGTATCACTTCTGTCGATCACCCCATTTTATTTTCAAGTTGTTATATGTTGTATTCGGTAAACAATATGTATTTACCTACAGTATGATTTTAGATTATTTATTTGAAAAAATATATGAAAATTTTTAGCTTTATTATAAAACTTAAATTATTTGGCGAGTTTGATTTTTGGTGCTCCCAATATAGATTTGTTTAAAGAAATATAATTAAATTGTCTAAGTATAAGTTTCAGTTTAAATATTTTATTTTATAAGTATAAATCTTTGGTTGTTCCTATTAGCTTGAATGGGCAGATGAAAAAAATTACTACCTTGAAATCAACTTCTTTCTTCTAATAAATTATTTAATTTTTCCATTTTTAATTGTATATGTACTTATATAGTTATATTTAAAATCTAGATGTGCCAGCGACTGTGCGCGTGTAAATTTGTAGACGCCACCAGGTGACAAACTAACGTCAACATCAAAATAAAACATTTATACAACGCCATCTATTTTTTAAATAATAAAATAAATAGTAGATGTATTGACCAATAGTCATAAACATATTATTGCACCTCTTTGGAGGGCTTATTAGTCTGCTGTATTGAGCCTATATTTTGGTACATAATTAAAAACATTCTAAAAAAAATGTCATCCTAATTTCTCAAGCCGTTTCTACATACAGTTAATTATTGATATGTAATAAACTAGGGTACAATATTTCTAGAATGTTATATTTAATATTTCGATTGTCAGTGCCTTTACAATTTATACTGTATTTAATATATTTATAGCGCTTTTTTATGTATTTATTCACTTGCGGGTAGTTCGCATTTTAAGCTGAAATAATTGAACACTAATATTTGTAAATGGGGGTAGGGATGAGAAATATGTAAATACAGACATTTATATACGTTAGATTTTGGATAAAATTTTGGCGCCCCAGAGTTAATCTGTTGACATGGGTTTTTTCAATGGTACACCATTGCTGTTTGGTACAACTAATATGGGAGATGTGTTTTTACATTTTGCTACTGTGTGTACATATAACATGTAAATGTATTGAATATTATAATAAATTATACATAGCATGTAATAAATGATTAAGACGATATTTGTTTTTTATTTTATATACCATGCTCATGACTAATCTCATATAGGAGTCAGTATACTGTTATAAATATTAACTTTATTTATACCAAATATAGTATAACATTTGTTTATGTAAGTGGAAGAACCACAGGCTGGCGGTATACCTGATGCTAAGTAGCGACCGTATGAGATTGGAGCCTCTTGGCACAGGCATTTTTATACCTGAAAGGGATGACTTTGTTGCACTAAGTTACATAAATAATTTTCTTTTTAATGAACAGCAACGCGGGCGTTGCTCTTTTTGCGTTGCCTTTCCAGTGGAGTAAAATGCCTCCTTACTTCATATTTCACTATATACTATACTCCTTAATTTCACCATCTCACATACATGTTTACAAATAAAACAGCTTGGTGGCGGTAGACAGGATCTTGTACAACGTATTCCTCTTCACAGCTAGCAGTTTCATAGTACCAATAAAATTAAGAGGAAGTAAAAAACACTGAAAATTGATACAAAAACAAATTGGTACAATTCGTCGAAATCAATTTATTATTAAACCAATAATTCAAATCTTAGCTACATTTTCGTTAAATAGAGAAAAGCCTAAACTATGTTCTCTCTAATTTAACACTTGGTATATATTTAATGATACATAATATATAACCTGAACACAGCGTTACATTATCAGTGTTACGTCGTAATTTAATTTTATCCTAACTAACAATTTCCCAAGAATGATTAAAGTATAAGTGATGTAGGTACTTAAAACTGGCAACATCGGATTTTACCTGCAAAAAATCAAATCTAAGGAATTAAATTTCAATATAGCAAAAGTGTAATATTTTAAAATATCGCAACTTGATGAAAAGTATAGCTGTTTTTAAAATATATTTTCCCGTATGATATACGCGCTTAATAAATAATGAATTATTTAGCGCTATTATAATACGCTAATTGTACTATGTCTATTTTCCCAAATGTGCGAGCAATAAGTTGACAAAGATTTATCCTAATAGGATGAATGGTAGGCCATCCTAAAAATTAAAATACAAAAAAATATATATATAAGTAGATATTGCAAATTCACAAACCAAATAATAATTAAAAATTAATTATTTGGATTGTGAGATCAAAGATCTATATGCAAGTTAAGAACCTGCGATACTTTTGAAGAAATAAAAAATAGTACACATATTCTTTAATTGTACAGGTAATATAGACATTACTAATGTCATAGTACGACGGTTTTTAAATAAATATAATTGAATTGTAAGTAAAATATTGCATATAAACATAACATATAAATTTATTCCATAACCAAGACCTATGCCCAGCAATGGGCATAAATTAATACATATAGTAATGAAAGCGATGACTTAAATAAATATGTAAGTATATAAACATATTGTGTAATGTTTTGCATACATTTTGTGTAACATATAGCATATTTTCAATTTTGAATATACAAAAGACACTTTGCAGGTTTATTCATTTTATTACACAAATGCATAATAAATACATATTTTCATAGTGAAGATTATGAAGTAAATTTAAATAAATTAAATGGGCCATTATTATATAATTCCGCATAGACCTTACATGTAACTAGTCTCATACATCTGGATATATTGCTGAAAAGCAGTTATTTTATTATTTTATATTTAACAACTTATTAATAACGCCCATTACTAATTTGAGAATTGTAGTCTTTAATCAAATTACTACTCATTGTAATATCTACTTTCAATTGCTATAAACAAGTGTAACTTGAGCCGTTAATTCGTAATTCCCAATGTAGAAATGAGTGTAATGACAAATGATTTCAAGGCTTTTACTGTGATGGTGGTGGATTGCCTCCAGGACCGGGGGGACGAACTTGTCGTCTCAACTGTTCTACCAAGTCTGGGTTGGCTGCCTGCATGTGCTGCGCTAATGCTTGACCAGCTTCTAAAAGAGCATTCATGCCTCCAGCATTAGTAGGGGCGCCAGGTGCTGTTGTATTTGTCATTATTCCAGATATTAGATTCTGCATATTGGGATCGGCTAGCATTTCTGTTGCCATATTCAATAAAGCTGGGTTTTGTAATAACCCACCAATATCTAGAGGTCCACGTTCTCCTCGTTGTGCGAGATGCTCATCTGCATGACGTAGATTCTGTTTGTATGATTCATTGTCTGGTTCGAGTTGAGATGCGCGTGCAAACGCTGCTCGTGCTTCACGGTGTTTGTCTAGAGCGGTAAGAGCAAGACCCAGACGCCCATGTGCTTTCCCGTAATCAGGTTGTAGTGCCAGCGCAGCTGTGCAGTCGGCCACCGCAGCTTCGTGTTCGCCGAGTTTAAAATGAGCTGCTGCACGGTTACAGAAGTAAACAGAGTTGCGGGGATCAATTTCAATTGCACGTGAATATTTTGCTAATGCCTCCCGGTGCTTTTCCGCTTTCATTAATTCATTGCCCTCATTTTTTAAACGCTCGGCTTCGGCGCGATCAGGTGCTGGCTCTCCCCCGCGCTGTTGTCTTACTAGCTGTAGTAAATCAACACTACGAGCTGTATCCTCTGGTCCCAATTCAAACGCCGTCTCTATACATTGGACACCAACCTCTACGCTCTCTCTCGAATCCAAACTTAGTGAGTCACTATCAAGTTGCTGTTTTAAAAAGTGAACAATACTAGCAGCTACAATTTTTATATCAGACATACTGTATGATTGTATCGACACAAATTTAATGCAATTGTTTTTCACGTATATTTTGGAAAATGTAATAATTTTTTAGGCAATAATGACTTGAATGACATGTGAATGATTTGACAGCAAATCAGAACACTTGTCACAATCACAGAGTAATTTTATATCTCAGAAGATTAATACTGTACTAGTAGTATTTTGTCCGCATGTGGATAGGCAAAGGTACAAGACCATACAGCCTTAGATTAATATTGATAGTTATTTAACCGCAATTTACTAGACAGTATAAAAATAATTTACAGAATATTTTTCGTCCAATTTAAATAAATAATATTAGCAATTTTTTTCTTTTTCAATATAATTATGTAAACGGTATGGTACAAATTGTTTGGTATACTTCCATAGGATATACATTACATTGTCTTATTTTCAGTAAATGGTTGGACATGGGTTGTTAAGATGATAATTATAAGGAGTCGTATATTCAGATCGTGGGATATCCTTGCGCATACGAGTTGTAAAACGAAATATAAGTAATTACAACAATTTTACAATTATTAATAATTTAATAAATATTGTTGAATGTGAAACATTGTATAATATAAAAAAGTACACTGACAAGGCTAACAAGTACAATAAAAAAAATATAACCCTTTTATTATCAAGATCGACTCAATAACAGCTTTGAAGAGCGTTAAAAACATATGTTCTTATAATATTTCAAGAGTGTTTGTCGAATTGAAAAATGTTTACAAAGTTTATCTTTTACTTTTATTAACATAAACGTACGTAACAAACCTTTCCATCAAAATAGGTGACGTAAATGCTAAGGTAAGTAATGAATGAGGTGTCATTGCGTTAGTGGTTTTTGACTGCAATTTCCTGTAATTTTACTGTCATATCTTTAGTAGTGTCCTGATTAGTTATTATAAATAAAATAATGTATTAACTCCTATATGGTGATGGAATAACAATATATTATGTGCCGCCTCTAGTCTGTAATAAAGAGACCAATAATAAAGCATAAATACACCGCATTAAGCATAAGAAAAAGTAACAGCTAAATCTTCCACTCTCATGCAAGACTCGTTCGTTATTCACAGGGAATCGCGTGTACTCAGAATGTAAAATAAACTACCTGTCGAGGTTTTCGTCTCTAGACGTTTAAGGTTTTTAAGAGTCGGCAACGCACAATTTTCAGGTGTTTTAGGCGTGAATTGGCTTAACCATTTATCATCACATAGGTTTTATGCTTGATTATAACCACTAAGGTATAAAAAAGGCGCTTCGCTTCTCGACATCAACTGGTCCTTATGAGCCGCTGAGTACCGGCCACCAGCATGCTCATTACCCGGGCGTGCTGATGGCGTCACCAATACAACGTTGTTCTTTTACGCTTAGTGGCGTAAAATCTCGATGTTACTAAGGCATAGTGTTGTTAGTTGTGACGATGGCGATGAGGAGCCATTGTGAGTCTGTGTTCTCGTCCGCGGCGCTACAGTCGGTGCGGGTGGTCGGGCGGCGTGTTGTCCAGGAGACAGACCCAGTCCCGCAGGCGGCGGCGGCGCGCGTACTGGTCGCGGGCGGTGGCGCGGCCGCCGGCGCTGTCCGCAGCTCCTCCCAGGGCTCCGCCCGCCCACGCGCAAGCGTTCTCGTGCGCGGGCGCGCGGTGGAACTTGAACGTGCGCACCATCACGCGGGTGCTGCAATTATACTAAATTTACTACAAGTGTAATGTATTATATATAAATGTTACTATTGCAATTGTAACTTAAAATAAAAGATTGCTGATAGAAAAATGCGAGCAAGAATGAAAAATTCACTGAAAGAGATATTATTCAATGGATGTCATTTTTATGTTGTAGCCACTCAATAATTTACGCTCTGCAATGCATTAAACAAGTAGACTATAAATAAGATTTGGAAAGAGCACTAGTGGAGATGATAGAATGAGCATGAAGCCAGGTTAATCAGCCCATATACTTATATACCATATATATACTATATTCATAATTTAAGAGGTAAATTAGCACCAGGCATTAAGGCTGATGAATTGCAGGATAGATCGCGTCAAGGCAACCAGATCAACCTGGCATGATACCCCATTACTAACAATCCTGTCTGATAGAGATTATCATTACAGTATGTTTAAAAACAGAAAGTTTGTATATGTAGTAAAAAAATAAGTTACCTATAGGGTGGTTGTGTGACGAGATATCTAAGCTCGTGTGCCAGTCGCGCCTTCAGGCCAGGCATGGTCGCAGTACCGCCAGTAATCAGAATATTCTCAGCGAGAGCACGCCGCGCGTCTATAGGACACTGTAATTTCAGTGATAAAGTAATAAAGATTAATTAATTTATATCATTAATATTTTATACGTTTTTCAATAATATAGGTGTTCCGATTCTATTACGGAACAGTACTCTCTGAAAGATAACATATCTTTTTGTTCTATATAAAAACACGAAATATTTTTTATTCAAACAGTTAAAATAGTAATAAAAATTGAGTTTTAGAAAGTCAAAATCAATTAATTTCAATTCATTGATCATATTCATAGAATATATTTTATGCCACATAAACACATCAAACTTTTAATATTAAACAGATGGTGTCGCAGTAACGCAAACTCATGGTACTGGACTGTACTTTAGTAGCAGGTATATTTAAAAACGTTAAAAAAAAATGGAATACATACTGTTGTAAGTAGTAATACGATGTTGTCGGTTGAGACGATTGTATACTACATATGATAATATACTGACAAATGTACATAAAATTTATCTTATGTACTAAATAACAATAGGAAAATGTAAGGTGAGTTGACACAGTGTCGCTAGTGCTTAGTAGACAATATTGAGTTTGTCTTATTAGCCATAATTATTTGCAATTATTATAACAATGTATCTAGGTAACTGTGTCCCATACATACTATTGGATCACAGAACCAACCTGCATAATACACTGTAATACGATATCTGGCAATGATGCGAGCTCGTTGTCTCTGGCGAATAGCGGTTCGGCCGCCAGTTCCCTGGTGCGTCCTGACACTGTGATAGCAGTTCGGCCTGCGACTGGATACTGCACGCTGCGTGCTGGACTGGGTGGTTCCCCATCTGCCCACTGCTGGGCACGCTCTCGGCTTCCCACGAAACATGTTTTCACTGTTCATATGTTGATATAGAATTAATTTATATTCTATGCAGATTTATATATTTAGTACTACTTAAGAGATATAATATTTTATATAGTGGACCATAACACTCCACCAGATTACTAGCCGTGCCCGCGAACAAATTTATAGGCTATATGTTATTGGATATATATAAAAACGCTAAAGTTTTTGAGTATGGATGGATAGATGGATGGATGTTTGTTACTCATTCAAGCACAAACTACAAAATAGATTTTAATGAAAATTTTCAGAATAACAGATAGGCTGTAAATTTCACGCGGCATACCCGCGTATATGAATAAAATAAAATATTAAATATATGAAATAAAAAAATTAAAATTTATATACCCTTTATATCTTCTATGATGTGATCAGGCAGATTTAGTTGTTGACCATTGTCCTCGTCCAGCAACCTGGCGAGTTCGTCGTGGATGGCGCGAGCGGCGAGTGGCTGAGACTGTAGTGCATGGAGCACCACCGATGCATGGACCACTGGAATGTCGTAATTTTTTTATAGCTTTTTATAGCACAGGACAAATGAGCTTATGGCTCATCTGAAGGTGTGATTATCGCCGCCCATCAGCAAAATAGTATCAACTTTGTTCTAAATGTATTATTATCAATGTTCATTATACATAGGGTATAATAGGTAATTTTGTGGAATATACCTGCAGCAACTTCCGCATCCCTGGCACCAATGGAGACTATGAGAGCAACTGGTGTTCCGAGGGTCAGGGCACAAAGTCTTGGACTGTCTGCCCACACCACACCTGATACCTATTATAAAAAATATCTAATAAATCAATATAATTTCACTAAAATAATGAATTAATTCTAACTTAAGACAGACAGTCAAAATTAAAATCACCAGAATAATCGCCAATCACCAGGAGGAGACAGGCACATAAAGAAGAAGAAAATAATTAAGTTAGAAGAAAGAATGACAAGTGTGAAAGGATGTTCAGATCTTGTAACAAGGAATTTTTTACATTAACAGTTTGTAATTGAAATCCAAATCTGACCAATTACCAAGCAACATATATTTATTATGCTATTTCATCTAAAAAGGAATGTAGATAAATAAATACCTCATAATGTGTAAAAAGCACTTTGGCCAATGTCTCTCTAAAAAGGGTTGGCGTTAGGAGAGATTCAACCACGACCACTTTACGCTCCTTTGGGTTGACAAGCACATGTCTGGAAGACAATATAAACACTTATTTACTTAGAAAATATAAAAAAAAATCTTTACCTGTATACCTAGTACATTTTTAATTTTGTTTAAAAATATAAATTATATAGTTATAAATTATAACACAGACAATAAAAGTATACTGTCGTAACCCTCAGTTCCTTGAGTATATATCAATCTGACTTAGCAGAATGAACCTACTGGCAGATCTCAGATGTTCTCGAACTGTAGGTTTATCTTAGGTTTTCTTCACCAGAGAGTTAGTTAGAAACATAAATCGACACACAGTTTTTTGTGTTAGTCAAATATAAACTTCTTGATTATAAACCTCCTTAGTGTTACTTTAGTGTTGTAAACCACCTCGCTTATAAATCATTAGGCACCAAAAAACTAGGACAGAATAGCCTCACTGTATATTTTTCACTTAGTGTATTTTAAAAATAAAACTACTGAAATGTATTTTGATGAACATTTCGGTAGAAATACAATAAGTACTGTATGGCTAATCAGAAAGTACCAAATAAGGCAACAAACATAAAAATATATTCAAATTCATAACATTTTTTGATGTTGTTTCATAAATCAGACGAGACATACAATAAAAATAATTACATACAAAAATTAATCAAAATACTGGGTGATTGCTTGATTTTAGAAAAATAGTTGTTCAGTTTAGATTTAGAAAGATTTTTAAAGAATTGAATCACACAACTGTCTCAAGTACTTCATTTGGTCCACACAAATTTTATGTTATTGAGAGTGTAAACTTACCTGAAGTATAACCGATGAAGCATATGTACAAGGTTTTCATAAAGTTCATCTGGAGTTTTATAATCGTATACTCGTTTGAAACGTCGTTCGGTTGCGCACCAAAATTCAGAGCGTATGATACATCTGGGCGCAGCCTCACCAGTAAAACCAAATCTTAAAAGAATAAACGATCATTTAAATAAACTATACAAACAACTGGTAGAAGAATCATTACTTCCATAGTAAAAATAAACAAAGTTTAACTTTAAAATAATATTACTTGGTATAATCAGTGCCCAGATCCAAAACCACGGCTTGTTTTTCTTGGATAAGTGCTATGCCCTCATATAGGGCCATATTTATGCAGGTATTTGTTTTTCACAGTTTATATATGATTTCATCTGTCATTAAATACGTAATAGACTAAATATATCACGATTATGTACACATTTTAAATAAAATATAAAATAAAATTCGAATTCGAATTAGAAATCTATAAACACAGAGTAGTTAAAGAATAACACCAGAATATATATGTATTGAGATCTATGAAGCCAAATTGACGTAAGCATTATTTTTATTTGACAGTGACATTTAATTTTTTTCTTCTTCTGGTATAGCATTCATCCCAATTATAGGGTATTTCGAAACTCAACACAAGTTTAATGATGAAAAGTATTAACTTTTTTTTATTGAAGATAATGGAATGGTACTTATACCTGCGGTAACGGTTTTACTAGTGGAGGATGATGAGATGAGCATGTCAGGTCAGTTAACCCATCTTGGCAAATGCCAATTTAACGTGATGGTTTCCAGGGATAACCGCATGGAGGTCATCTTGACATTACTAACAATAAGGACATTAGTCAACATTACTAACAATCTCCTTCCCTCAGTATTGTCACTTATTTGTTCAGTGAGCAATCGGCTATTTAGCAATGAAAAAACAGTAACTTGCAATTTGCATTACATTTGCAAACGTACTTAGTATTGTTTAAAGGATTTTAGACAAATATAATCATAATTCACATAATACATATTGTTGTACCTAATTCAACTTACCTATTTTGGACTTTTTTTTAAATGTAACAGACAACTTCATTGTCAATTTACTATGACAACGTACTTGTCTAGGTAGATAACCTACCAACAGGTATCTAAAACAACATGTTTGTAATATGTTCTAGTTAGGCACTACATACTCATTTTTATATTTTGTTTGTTTTAGATATACAAAAATATCTCCAAATTAAGTTTGAACTTACTCTTTAGGTAAGTGCTTTTACATAAGTAGATTATACCGCAGTAGACTTTGTACCTCTCTATTATTATTAACTGGTAATATTATTTCCCATTCATATAAAGCTCGCTCCCTGCTACTTCGATTCAAATGTGAGCCAGCAAAATGTGGCCAAGTCAAATGTTAGTTATCATATCCTTTCGAAACGGCTAGACCTATTTTTATCAAATTTTATATGCATATTCAATAGGTCTGAGAATCAGCTATTATCTATTTTTCTTACCCCTAAGTGCTTAGGGTTGTCCACCCCTAACATTTTTTATTTTTTAGACAAAGCTTTTACTTTTCCAATTTTTTATAATGTGGCATTAAAAATTCATTCAACCACACATTTTAACCATTCTACCACCAACCCCTATTTTTAATTGCGATATTAGTAGATACTTGAATTTATATGGCAAACGATGTTTGCCGGGACACCTAGTATACTATAATATTGTTTCATAGATATGGAAATGTGCTTTATTCATCATGTAAGACAGATGTCTCGAGTAACAGTGCTGCCTATATCTGGATATCGGGTATTGCAGAGGACACTTCCTCCAACCTACATTCCGTCATCCCGACTTCCAAGACCTATATCTGTTTCGAATCGCCGTCGCTGTTATGTTGGCTGCGTTGTCAAATTCATGGACTCATTCCTCACAAATTATTCATAATAATGAGTTGTTAACTTAATATTGGAAATAAAATGTTACACTAATGTTATTTTTACGTTTTTATCATTGCAGTAGTTACGTGTTGCTATATAAAAACAAATTAAAAGTTTTGTATTTAGTAGTTGCAGTACGATATTGGAAAGAAAAAGGGTCGAGTATATTGTAGTACCAATTGTTTAAAAATATTTCACTTATTTCTATAGTAAATCAACAATGTATCAGTATTATGTATCGGTTAGATGAAACAGAGACATCATGTTTTGCCTATCGGGCAGATAGGCAGAATATCAGGTCGTATAAATGGATGTTTGAAATAAAATGTGTCTATAATTTAACTAATAATTTTATTTTATACAAAATTCCGCTATAATACATATTTACAAACGTAAAAACGAATCGAGAATGTTATAAAAAAAAGCTTGAGCAGAACGGCGGCGGCGCCGGGCGGACCGCGGGCCGCGCCACGCCACCGCCGACCGCCGGCGCGCCTGCGACCACGATCAGTGTAACCATGTTAAAATTACGGATTTTCTCCCATATTAATGCAAAATAATGCCATAGTCTATATGAACTATAAACGTTGACATATAAATTTTTATTTGTATTGACATTAAAAATCAATTATATAGCATACGAAGAATAAGAACTACAAAAACTCAGTAAGCAAACAGGATTTGTATTAATTAGACAGATAACTTATAATTTTCATATAGAATATTTAGTAGTCAATAACAGAAATTTATAAATTGTTTGTTGACAATATCAATACTCCAAAATGTATGTTAGAAGATAAATAAATGTACTAGTACTGCTAAAAAGGCATGACACTGCCATATATGGTCACACTGCCCGTGTTCGTATCCGTTGTAGGTTTCCAGCGGACCCATCCGGCGCGCCTGCATTCGCGGCCGCAACACGGAACCATGGAAACGACGCGCTCCCATTCGACATACCCAACATTTATGGACGTAATTAGGAGATCTGGCAACCCCACATTTATATATTAGATACACTACATCTACCTCTTGCCACTAAATTCTTCAAATGAACATTAGCTCGGTCTCATGAGATATCGGTTTTATACTAAGGCTCGAAACCTCAATAATTCTTCCTATTAGTTTTTTGTTCATAAAGAATAGCTTGACTGACTCGCAACCAAAAAATAGTTCCCCTACTTATATGTTAAGAATTAAATTAACCAACTACTAAACTAGGTACATATTTAGGATTCCCATTATTTCTGCCTCTACTAATTAAATTATTATATTTATTGCTAGTTTTATCAGATCTTCCTAATTACGTCCATAAAGTCAGTCTTTTAAAGAGCGAGGGAAAAGCGCTACAAAGTTATAATGTATTATAATATATCCTACCTACTTAAGAAGCGCTGATATAGGACCTCGCTCCGAAACTGAATATTGCCGTCAAAAGTAGAAACCAACAGGTCATACACAGCCATATACAAAACTATAGGATACAAGAATAGGTTTGATCATATACAGAAAAAATCTGATACTATTATATTAAAATTTTAAAGATGTGGATAGCATAAAGTTTATTAAGCAATCGTATCACAGATCAATATCCGAATGGGATATTCGGACCAATGTTTAAATTAATACCTGTTGTTACTTTTCGCCCTGTTTTGCTTCTCATATCGCGGTTGGGAGACGCATCCATTCGCGGCCAGGCCCATGTCTACCCTACTACCTAAACTAATTGTCTACACGCTCACGCGTTAAATGATAGATGTAATCAGTCGCGCCTTGAAGTTGACTATCCTCTCCGAGGTTTGGGCGATACGCAGGATGAGGTCTTGGATGAGGTTGGCGATGCCTCTGTTGGCAATAATGAAGAGCCTAGTGATGGGTCCGGGGACTCCCTCGGTGAGGTTATCACCCTTGGCAGCAGACGCGTCGTCACCGTCAGCGGGCGCGCCAGGATCAGCAGAGGACGAGGCGAAAGTACCGGATACCAACTGAAAGTTATAATTATGTTTACTATTATTGTATTTTGTAAGCCGATTGCATATTTACAAAAGTATTTATTCGAACATTTTACGCCTCTACGATTGCTAATAAATTTTCTAAGATATCTATATTTTACAGCAGCTATAAATTACAAAATGAATGATTTCTATACAATCTAATTTCTCATGATGCACGGCTGTTCTCTAAAATATCTAAACATATATACATAGTATAATACAATGTTAGTATATAGGTATCTAATTTTTTTATGAAATGTCATTTACAAAATAAGACTGTAGATAAATGATCAAAGAAGCTATTGTAGAATCATGCACTACAATACAACAGCAGGGAATATTAGGAAATATAAAAGATTAGATTGGAAGGATAGGTACGAAATAGCAGTTCATATAGGAGTTACTATTCGGGAGTTAAGTTATGCTATCTACAAGGACCATTCAACGGTACTGTACTACAAATAACTTCTAACTACTGGATCTATGTATGTGTTCGCGTTTATATGTGCTTGTGTTGTATGTTGTACTTGTGGATTATTTGGGTCCAATGATGCAGTGTGGGAGGCTGAGAGACCGACGTTTAGGGAATCTGTTCCTGCGAACAGTCGAAACGCTGTGCCAGCTGCACGAGCCATCGCCTCCGCTGGACGCTGTAACATCAATCCTTCTCACTCGAACTAGTGCTCAATACAATCTTGGCTTTCACTCTTAACACTTCTACATATTAACTTGGTTAGGTGGATGTATAAGATCTGCGCAGACGAGCGACTTTTGTTCATTCATGTTTGATGTTCCCTATATATTTTTTGCTTCTTATGGAATGTTTATACTTTGATGATTACTGTAGTAGTTAGGTATTGCCTCTCGTTTATGCTGGCTATAAGGGTAATTAATTTTGAAACTGTCTTTAAGGTGGATATTGTATAGTACCTATAGCTGCATGTTAATACTAACAGTTAGATAGCATTATGTTGTACTAAAAGAGTTGAAGAGAAAATAATACTCTTACTTCTTTTATAATATTTTTTATTATAAAAGAAGTAAGCACTTCTTACTTCTTTTCTTCTTAGTAAATAAATGAAATATAAATAATATAAAGGTAAAAAGAAAGAAATAACTATTACGCAGATTTGTTAGATGACTGACGTAAGATTCTTACCCTAACGATATCGAATATAAAGTTGCCAGATCCGCCACCGGTGGCACCATTTTGTCCACCTCCACTTAGGAATCTGAAATGGTAAAATATACGTTATTAATTTCTTTTTTTTTTAGGATATTAGAATGGCAACTACCTTAAAAACTAAAAGTGGCAACAGTAGCTTCTGTTACTACCGTGCTCCTTTCGTGTGTTACGGACTATGTTATGTCTTTATACCTTGTATATCTACACTTCATACAGAAATTCTACTGCTAAGTAACAGCATTAGATAACACGGAGATATCTATGAAAATAATATTGTATAAGTCTACTTAAATTCTGGTAAATATCAATTATTGTACTTTGAATAATGCTTTAAAATTGAGAAGTATTCGTGAAATGGAATTAGTCGATTTTCTTGTACAAACATTCACTGAAACTAGTGCATAATCGCATACACAATATATACAACACGCAATGATTACATGATCGTATAATGACTTGATACAGCACAAACTCAAGAAATCGAAACGTGCGAATTGAAAACTCAAACAAAAAGGTTCTGTGCCTCAAGTCTATTGTTTATCAATGTCGTAGATATTTACACATTGGAGTTACGTCTTGTATCACCAAGATAATCTTTATGGTCAATTTCACACCCTTGTGAAAAATTTAGGTGTGACCTAATCATACCTAAATTTTTAAGGTATCAATTACATAATAAAAAGTTATATACCTTTTGTTTCTGTTTTCTTCACTGGTATCGGCATCATCGAGTGTGATCTCGTCGATACTGGCGGAGTTAGTTTGAGCAGCTGCCTGTTGATCTTCACTAGCAGCTACCTGCTGGTCTTGTCCTCCTTGACCTTCACCGAACGCTACGCGAACTTCAGCTTGTTGTGATTCAGCTCCAGATAAAAGTTGATTCTCGTCGGCAACCGCGTTCTGTAAGATAAAAAAATAATCAAAATTTTGTTGTGGTAACGTTTTATGATCCAATGGTCAGTGAAACGATGATGTGACCATTGCGATGACGATGAAGGCGTGCGGTCTGCGCGCGCCCGCTCTGCCGTCCCCAGGCAGGCTGGTGTTAATGCGCGATATTGCGACCTTCATACCGGCAGGAAGAAGAGCGCCCGCTTTCTTCTCAGCGTGCCAGCATCGGCAGCTTTGGTTGTGGTTGCTTGTGTAGTGGAAGAGACGGGAGTTGCGTCTTCATCGTCGTCGTCATCATCATCGTCGTCGAGCTCGACGGTGCCACCTCCACCTCCCTTGTTGCCGCCACCGCCACTCCGGTTTCCGCCAAGGAAGGTCCTTAGAACTATAGGACCGAAGGTCTGCAGCACCACGCTTGTGATCTGCTGTACTTTTTGTTCGATAATCTAGAACATAGACCGTCCTTAGGAACGCGGCCGATATTATTAGGCTACTCCATAGCCTGCGGAGGAATATCAGGAATTAACTCTGTTTTACAATATTTTATATTGAAATTGATAATGACGATTTACGTCTTTAATATTTCATATTAATTTATCCTTTTCAATAACGTAAATAATTTAATTCTACATTTGTTACATCAAACGAATAGTTAATATCTTTTAGTATCTATATACCTATATTATATATAAAGAATATTATACACAATTTGACTGTATTTTTAAATATTGATTATGCATTAAATAAAGTAAGAAGAGCACTATTATACCTGTGTGAGAGTAGGGAAGAGCTGTCTCAGAATACCAATCGTGCGCTTATTTCGTTCGCTCAGATCCGAACCGGGAGCACCTAAGTTCAGTGTTGACAGCGTTTCCTGAAATAAATATATAGTGATTGTATATTAATTAATTACATTATTAAATATAAAAGATAGGCTATAGTCATAATCATGATATCTATTTTTATGTAAAATTTTATCAAGATACCTTATGCCGTTTAGTTATGAAAATGTAATGAATAGACAGACAATAGACTTATTTAGGAATTTATAATATTATATATTTAGTAGGTAATTGAAGTTGATTTAAGACTATACAACTTGAATTCACTTAGGAGGGCGTGCAGAGCTGATAACATGGATTAATACAGAATTTAGTTAATATATAGACACATAATTCATATTTGAAATACACAAATGCGGAAATGAAAGTAAGCTGAAAATTATAGATGCAAATTGCAAAACAGAATGCGAGTTCCGACCTCTATTCTAATGTAAATAGATTGCATTTTCTTTGTCTTCACACTTTCTTAGAAAAATGAGAAGTTTTTTTTTTAATTTCTCTCATTTTTCGTAATGTTTATATAAGTTATGCAAATAGCGGTCATTGTTGTCTTGTTGCTAGCAACGAGGTCATGAACTCTAAAGTATATTTAAGACAACATTAAAGTTTGCTATTAGTGTTACATAGGCAGATAACTACGTAATGACATGTAACCAAAAGAAATGGACGTTGTAATGTACGATAATTGACGGCAGTTTTAATTACTTTTATTTATTGTGTTGGATAATGATAGAAGCATCTACGTATTTTGTAACACTTCACGCAATTTTATCACGTAAAGATTAAAGGAATTGGACGAATGCTGGACAGCATCTGTTTAATAAACAATAAAGCTATCATAATTGCCCTTAAGTATTAACATTACAGATATGATAATAGTAAACGATTGACTTGAATATCTTTTGTTACTTCCTGTATCAGATTGTGTGAAAACAGATATATATCTCCAAAATATATTTCACTAGTCCACTTTGTTTCTTATCGAAAAAGTTAAATTTTAAGTGTGTCCACACAACAAAATTACGATTCTTCAGTATTAGTTCTATCTCTATTAAGAGATGTTGCGTCTCTCCTCATCCAACCGCGATAGCAATACTTTCAATCAAAATTTTGCCGTAAATATTTATGTTCCGCTCTACTCGGATTACTCTATTATTACAGTAAGTATAAAGGCATTTGAAGACATGCAGCCTTAAAGATTTCTGTCAGTGAAGCTATAAAGGCTAGCTGCAGTTAAAAGCACCGTAACCGTACCAAAAATGTATCAATTGAAGAATCGATTAATGCACGTGGAAAAAATTGTTACTTCTAATCCTACAAAAACTAATTTGAAAAAGTTCCCATCAGAAATTAGCTATTTTATTCTTTTATTAGAACTAAATGCCACAACACATGCAAAACTGCTTGAGAAACGGTTACCTACTTATGGGATATACACTCAAGTCACGCGAAATTACATGAAGATAGCCTCCGCATACATGAATTCTCACAATAATACTCATTTATTGTTTAGGCATGTATAATTAAAACTTTTATCATATAAATTATGTTATTTACGAATTTTATTTTCATTCCATGCGGGGATATAACATTACTATGAAGATTTTATGTTCTAAAGCATAATTAGCCTTGATTATAATTATTCGATTAATGAAACGCTATTTAATTGTACATGCAACCAATAGATATCTACTTAAAGATTTCTGGTTGAAGGAATTATATTCTTGAAGACATATATAAGATAAATAGAATGCTGCTATACTAAATGTTTTTTAATCTTAATTTTATTTGTGAACTTATATTATAACTATTTATATATAAGTTTTCCACGGATATGTTATATATTTATAGTATGAAGTTGAGTCGGAAACAAGGTAAATAACAAAAACACCTATATTTTAATTTGGTTAGTGTATTAAGTAAGTTATTATTCGTATTTAATCAATTTTGTGGTTTTGGAGTTTTCGTAGAAATATTGTGTCTTGGCATTTTTGCATAGACACATACATATATATATATCTACTATATACGAGATATATATAAGAATAACAATAAAATTTGTCAAACATATATTATATATGTATATCTTCTATATAAATATGTGTATGTGTACAACCATATAAATAAATATGTAACTGTTAACTAGGTAGGTATTAACTTTGTATTTTGCTTAATACACTTAATTGTAGATTATACGATTACAGTTATTCATAAAACAATTTATAATACGTAATTACATTTACCACTCAATTTATTTTCTCAGTAAGTTCAGCGCAGTATAATAACTAATTAATTTTAGTTAGTTATTGCAGCGTTTGTTGCGCGTACGCCTCGCTGAATAATAAGGCCGGCTTTATATGTAGCCTTCACTGGTATGGCTCCGCAATTCATGTGCTATATTCTTTAGTTTTCCTTATACCAATCAATATATAATATTCCACAGATGTTGAATCCTACTAAAATATTATGAATGAGAATGTATGGGAGAATGAATGGATATTTATTACTTTTTCATGAAAATACTACTCGATGATTTTGTTTAAATTTTATACACATTTTATATGATCACTCTGATCATAATCTACATTATTAAATGGGATAATTTGTCTGTGATTATATTCTCCCGCGTGGACTTAACTTTATTATTCTAAAATAAAAGTAACCTAAGTTACTCCTTATTACATCAGCTACGTGCCAATAAAACTCCCGTCAAAATTGGTTCAGCCATTTCAGAGATTGGCCGATTGTTTGTTCCGGTAAATCTCTGACAGAGATAGAAAAATTTAAAAAAATGTTATTTTGGTGTATGTACCGTATTTATATTCAAATGCATGTAGTAAAAACCGGTCATTTCAATATTACTCCAATTTTATTTATAAGTATAGATTCATAATATTACAACCGCCAAGCATCTTGCTTTATAAGCTGTTTTTTTAGACAGTGAAATTACACGATAAGAGGCTTGAAACATAGACCATCTTTAAGCCACTAGTACCACATAGATAAAACAATATTACTTACTAGTACCTATAGTAGTAAAGTACGTTATTTGTCACTTAGTAATGGCCGTAATTTTATTGCGATTTCCATGCGAGTGAAATCGCAGGGCACGAATAGTCGTATAACATAGTATAGATACCATGGTCATCCTATATTATAATGTGAAAGCTTGAAAACATGTTTGAATATTTGTTAGTAGCTCGTTAACTTTGAATTTACTTTGCTACGTAAATAGAATACTTTATTGTTTTATGCTGTTGGTAAAACCGATACAGATTAGGGAGGATATATGTCAGCGGTGTTTACATGACCGGAGAGTTAGTAACAATTGTTTTTTTGGGTTTTTAGTTTTCTGGTATCACCGATATTCGAAGTCACTTTCTATAGAATTAAGTTGAGCCGAAACGCTCATATAATTTATAATATAAATAATTACAATTAAACTAAAAACAAACATTCAAATTATAAATTATTTTACTGTTGAATAGACCATTTATCGAGGCTTTATAACATCACGCTTCGATCAATAGGAGCTTAGCAACAATGAAAAATGTAGTAAAACAAAAATACCCCATTTTTGTTTTACGGCATTTTTCATTGTTTTTTGTCAGTTTTCATTCACATTTATTTCGTTTCTTTCTTACATGATGCAGGCGATGTTGCGCAAATAAACTAGTTTTATATATATAAAAACTCATGTCACAGTGTTTGTTAACAAACTTATCCGAAAAGTCTTACTGATACGTAGGTAGGTTTAAAATTGATTGTAGGCTATTTTTTAATCCTAAGTGGCAGAACAACGTTTGGCGGGTCAGCTAGTATTATATAAACGTACCTGTGCACTTGCAGCTGGCGCTATAATTTCTATGATTTCCGGTCTATCATCAGCAGGAGACGGCGCTGGGTCTGGTTGTGGTGCAGGATCAGGGTTCGGTTCTGGGTTCGGCGCAGGCGCAGCGTACACTGCCACCAGTGCTGCGCAAACCGCAACTAAGTACACTGAAGTCTTCATTCTGATTTTACGGATGTCCGGTGTCGTTCTAAAGTCTCCGTTTCAAGTATTGAGTTGTGACCTGAGAAAAAAATAACTATTAGTTGTTTATTCGGTGACGGTTACTTTTCTACTTAGAAGCCTGGAGTTTACAAAATTGACAGTATACGATATCAGTTTTTACCGCTTTGATACACCAGGAATAAAATATATAGTCTATATAATCAATGTACCATCGAGTATTTCTGCACTTCCCGAAGGTTGAGGTAGAGAATACCTATAGCATTAAGTTCCCCTTTTGTACCATAATTTAGTGGTCAATAAAGTTTTAAATAATAATATGTAATATTACAATTATCTGCGATAATAATAAAAAATATATGTAGTCTTATTAAGACACTCTTATATTTCTAGCGACGATAAATATCATGCAGTTCGACGGTTTGTTCTAATTGCTGTCTCCGGACGGTAAATACATACAATTTAACCACCGTTCAGTAAATTATGGGTGCTCAATGAGTGGTTTTACCGTCGACTATATTTAAAGAGACTATATTAAATATATATGATATATACAACTGCATGGCTAGTGTATCGTGACGGTAACATAAACTGATATCGTGTGGTACGACGGTAAATTCTAATAGGTTTTTATTATTTGTAAAAAAATGCAATCTAATAATATAATGACTTAGTTCAAACTAGATTTTAAATTATGTAACTTAATAATAGAAAAGAATTAGGTAGTGGCATTTTGAAAAATGATTCTATATTGTTTTCATTTTATAGTGCAGTATGCCGTGACTACCCATTTTGTTTGGTATCTACTAATAGGCTTCTGAGTAGAGAAAGTTACCCAAAATTGGATGTAATAATAAAGCAAATTATCAGTTCGGTAACGTACATAATGTAATTGTGTTGTATTTATTGTGGTATGTAAGTATAAGAGGATTGTGTTCATTTGTCTCCTATTTTAATATAAAGAGTTTCAGTTTTCTTTTTATTTATATTTATTTATAGTAGAAGTAGGTAGTTTCTCTTTTTAGTTATGTATTATTCTGCACCATAATCCGTATACGTGTATTATTTATCGATCGAAACCGTCCTGTAGATTTTGTGTGAAAGAGTGACAAACATCAATCAATCTCACAAACATCCGCGTTTATAATTTTAGTAGCATTTAAAAATAGACACGTTCACAAGTTATAAATAGTTTTTATTTAAATGGACACGCAAATACGTCTTATTTTTGAAAACTCTTATATGTATCCGTTACGAGATTTCGTTACGATTCTGAATTTTCAATAATGTTTAATTTAAATCGTTTCCGTTTATTTTGTCATTTTTCATTACTCGACTGTTAAAAGAAAACTTTTAAATTTAACTTAAACAAAACCATATAATATTTGTTGCGTATATTTTACGTTTTTTCTATGTCATGTCATGTTTATATTAATAGTTCATTACTCTACTGTTAAAGAAAGGCTCTAAATTGAACTTAAAGGTTTATAATATTTTTTACGTTTTTTCTGCTTCTTTGTCATTTTTATATCAAATGTTTATCAATATACTGTTAAAGAGAGATTCATAACTCAACTTAAAAGAAGGCTATAATATTTGTCGCGTATTTTTTTGCGTTTTGTCATTTCTGTTTATATGCATGTGTTTATGTTTGTGACAATTGTTTAGGGTAATGAGTTAGTTGTGTTGCCTAGTCACGTATGCAGTTAAGCAACAAAATACGAGGTGGGTAACTTAAGGTACATCAACTTGTACTTGCTTAAGTTTGTGTTACTTTCAAGTATTTTGTTTAAAACAGTATTGTGTTGTACTGTTTTATTTCTTAATTGAGAATTTATTAATTTTACGGCTAATGACGGTAAATTTAATAAAACCAAATACTTTATTTCTGTAAATATATTAAAGACACTTATGACCGAGGTTGTCATATAAATTGCCTATTTATATGACAACCTCGGTGGTCTAGCGATTTAGCATACTGCTTTTACTACCGATGGTCGCGGGTTCGATTTCTCACACGGTACAAACATTTGTATTCATAATTATAATTGTTTGTATCGGTCTGGGTGTTTTCTAAGTATATTTAACCAATTAAAATTTTGTCATTTCAGTCAACATACATTTTGTCATTATTAGTAAGTATATATTGTTTTTATAATATATATTTTTTTAATGATGTAAGATTATTATTTTACTTAAGTGAAGATTTTTTTTATATATTAACTTAGAATTTTATTACCATTGTGTTAATTTGCACGCCTACACGCTTTTAAAGTAATTAAAAGGTGGCAAAACGAATTATTGATTGACTAATTTGAATGTTACAATAACCTTTATTGCTAAACGTTAACAATTTAATAAAATAAGAAAATAATATAGACGTGCATATAATTTTTTTAAAAGGAGCTGCCTCAGCTGTTTTAGCTCTGTAGCGTAATTGCTGTATAATACTGATTTTTATGATTTCATTAAAGGTGCAGTCAGGACTAAAGTACTTTACTCATAACTCTACCTTTAATGCATAGAAAAATTCATTACATTAAATATATATATAGACATAGGAATAATCTTTATTCAAATAAACTCATTACAAGCACTTTTGAATAGTCATATTTTGCTTTTACCACTTATTCGGAATGCAGATTCATCACATGAAGTATGAGCAAGAAACTTGTGTGTTGCTCTTTTGAAGAGATGTTTTTTTTTAAATCACTATCACATTTATAGTATTAGTAAAAATTAGTAAGATTAAGTTTCTGGTTGTAGCTTAAGCGTATGTTGTATGAGAAAACATACAGTAGGTATCGGTTATGTTCTAATTTGAAAAAAATGGCCAATAAAAAATTTACTTGGCAAAGTACTATTTTAGTTCGAGTTGTAGAAATGGTTGTAACTATAAATTTATTAATATAATATATATATAATAAGAAACTATTATCAACTAATTACCTCAAAAACGATTTGCGTTTCATCGGGAGTCGTACAGAAACATAATTGATATTTATTAAATTGAATGGTATTATTGCATTATTATAAGAAAAATATAAGGTTAATATAGAAGTGAGAGGCGGTCAATAACTGTTGTTTTCCACTGTGACGCAATGTGGTCTATATATATAACTGTAGGCGTTTTGTAATATCTTGCCTCACGATATGTATAATTAATTAATCAACGGTGTATATTTATTCTGATCTAGAAATGCAGATCATATGTTTTGTATAACTGTAATGACAAACGACTTGATGGAAAGTAGCAATCGATGTCTATATGCAGGACTCCTACCACTTACATCACAGCGTCATATCATACGCCTAGTGTAATACTGGATTAACTAAAAAAATACAAACATTGTAAAATCTATTCTAAGGTGTTAAATTTAAAGTTTAATTTAAAAATATTCCCATAATAGTGTTCTAGGTGTGCGAAATTTCTATGCGTTTACATTATATATAATAAATAATATATATTAATTATAATGTAATAATTGCGGATGTCTATCTTTATGTTTGATACATTTTCAGTACTAACCGACAGCTTCATAATGGTACATTTTATCGCGAGGACGGAAATAGGCTATTAATAATTAAAAAAAACAAACGAAATCGCGGGGTAACAGCTAGTGTATTTATAAATACAATAAGGATACTAATGTCAATAGTTTATCCATCTATATTAAAATAATTAATCTTTAATTCTTATAATGACAGATTATACATCTACACTTATAGTCACAGTTTTAATTAATTAATGATAGTTAACATAGTTAAGACTTAAATCATGTTAGCTACATGGTTAGTCATAAGTTTACATTGTTTTCTAGCAGGTAAATAAAATTATTTAGCTACCTATAACAAAAAACAAAAAGGAATAAAGATCCAGCAATAATTCTCCTGGAATAAGGATCTACAAATTCTCCAAATTTTTTCCTTAGAAAATATACAAAGAAACGACATATACGACTATACATACATATAGGGTACATAATTTGAAAGTTACCAAATCGTATATAACAATGGGATTTGTGTGCTAGCAGATGGCTATGTCAAGATTCGTCCTTGCGTCTACAAAAGTATGAGATACCGTTATATTTCTAGTAGTGTAAGAGTTATCACGTACAATTTCGTAACATACACATTATAAGCAGGTGTAGAGAGTGCAATGACGTGCCCTCATATGAGTTGCAAGAACGTTTCAAGGTCTTTGAATGCGCTCTAATTTAATTTTTTATAACTGTACATTACATTTTCGTCTTTCACGATAATTGTTTTAACTTCATCCGGAAGTATTCCCCAGGGTAAGTGTCACCCTGAAGAATACTTTTAAATAATTAATTTATATATATAGAGACAAAACCGGAGTACGATAGATTCATCAACGTAAAAGTTAAATGCTGGATTTATAAACTAAACACGGTGGATAATTGACTACGTGTAGTTGCGCATTTATTAAACTTTACTAAATCTCGCAATGCAGTTGCAATAAGAATAATGAATAGACCACCAGTAAAACATTAAATTATCATATACTATACTATAATTTACTTCAATGGCCTGCAGATATTTCTTCTCTATTTGTAATAATATAAAACAAAGCTACTATTTTCATCTGTTTTTGTCCGCTTACTTATTCTAAACAACAGGAGGTCATATATCATATGTATTCATATATGACCTTCAATACATATTTACCCGATGCGAAGCGAACAAGGGACGAGTTTCTTGTCTAGTAATAAATATGCATACTTCCTGTAACATTTTTCTAATAGCACACCTCTTCCTTAGGTAGGTAACAGTACACATAATATAAAGAACAATAGTAATTTCAACTTTTTTTGTAATTATCTCAATTGTTTTCCTCGTTAAACGCCGTGAACAATTATTAAATGTAGTTGCTGTCATTTCTTCATTACGACTAATTAGTAGGTACTCTACTAAATGTGGTGTATTCTGTCACGTGTTAGCGTTTTTTTTGCGAGTGAATGAGAGGAAAACAGATTAATTACAATACTTTGTTGTATACTAATGGTAGTATACAACCATGGGACCATGGGGTCTACACAC